TGTGTCACCTTTTTGGGCTTACAGAAGGACATATGAATGTCATTCTCTTATGAGTAAATCTAGCTTATCTCGTCTGCTAGCTTGGTGACAGGAATTAGAAAGTAGTTTTAAAAACAAATATTTTTAAAATACAAAGGTATTGCATTATAAAAGAATATTTTTGAAGTCAAGGCACCATTTACTGTCTTGTGTCTGACTGTGTTTTTAGAGTAGTAGACATCAGATTTCTCTGTTAGAATCTTGACACCTATAACAACTTCATTGATCATGTTAGGCAGTTTTCGCATGAGAAGTCAGTTGGTTTTATAAACCTCTATGTATGCTCTCAGTCGTTCATACAGACGTATTTTCACACTCTGATAGCAAATGAGGTAACATTTGTTGTATACCATTGGATCACATTCCACACAGGGCAATAAGCTGAGCAAAATCCAATAGAACAGCATGGCCACCAGTAGCAAGATGATATTTAGATCTGATTAATGCATTATACTACATGGTATGCAATCTCCTAAAAGCTCATCAAAAGGAATGTTATAATTTAAACATGAGGCATTTGATTGACTGATAAGAGTGCTTACAATGACACAACATAGGGTCAGCAATTCTTTTCTCCAGCCAAAGAACACTACTAACAAGACCCGTGCCATCAACCTGAGAAATACTATCTGACCATATGAAAGAGCACATCCAGGCGTTCCGGGAAAGTCCACAGGCTGCAGAGTTACCCTCCCTGATTCATCTCTTAGTCTAAGGGTGTGCAGGGATATAACATATTTACATTAGCTCCTCGGGCATTGTTGTGATCATTTGGGTTTATGGTCTCCAAGAGTCCCATTAGAATCATGCTCCAAATTCCACAGCGGTGACAGTTTGACAGCCCATCTTTACTGTCATTATTTCTTTCTGATCTCACTTCCCTACTGGTGTTTGTTTTGTCAGTTTGATGCCTAGACTACTTGAGTCTAAACTTTGTCTCAGGTGTATTTCTAATCAACACAAAATTAGACACTATGTTCAAACCTTTACCTTTTATATTAGGATAAATTTCAATTTTTATTTAGCACAGTAAGCCGCCACCCATCTTATCAATTAAAAAGAAATGCAAGTTTGGCCAAAATTCAAGTCCATAAAAGGCCCACAATCCATAGGCGTGTTTTAAAGTAGAGGATGTTTTTGCCATGATATAGATGTCTGTGGTAGTGGTATAAGGTTTTTTTTTTTTAAACAAATAGAAAATCTTACTATAGAAAACTTTGAGTGAATCTAGGCATAGATATAGTTAGATCTATATATCTGCCTTAGTTACTTTTCTTGTAAGTAAGACCCCTTGATTGAAGGAAAATAAGGGACAGAGGTTTACTTTAGATCACAGTTGGAGGTATAGCACATCCTGGCGTGGAAATCAAGCAAGAAGGAGCTTGAAGCAGATGGTCATAATACATCAACAGTTAAGAGGCAAAGGGAAATCAACACCTACCACTGTTTACCTGCTCAGTGTGTTTTCTTCTACTTTATGATGTCTCCAGAACCCCGGTCCAGAGAAGGGCCGCATCCACAGGTAAGATGGGTCTCCTCACATCAGTAAATGTAATCATAATATTCCCTAACAGGCATCCTCGGAGGCCTCTCCTACGATAATAGTTCTATATCCTATCAAGGTGACAATTGACAACAAAGGACACACTATCCTTTTATTTTTCATCTTTACTGATAATATCTCAATTCTCACCTTTGTTTTACACACACACACACACACACACACACACACACATTCACACACTATGGATTTCATTCCACGATGGAAAAAAAATGGATTACATGGTTGTATTCTGTAAACAATGTCAAAGTGAACACTTCCTCAGCTTTTATATGTATCCAGTAGCAAGAACATATTTATACTTCAATAATATATTGCATCACATGGTAAGCAACCTCCTAAAAGCTTGTCAAATGAATATTTTTAGAATTTAAACATGAAGCCTGTGACTGACATATGTGGACAACATATCATAATGAATATTTTTGCAGCTTTTATATGCAAACAGCATATACATGATTTTAAACCTGACCTATAGACCCAATATATTGTCATTCAATTACAATGCTAAGACTTTACCATATGGAAAATGTAAGATGAGTATAAAATATATTTTTTAATACGAAATTTTATGATAACTTAAACAATCATGTGGAGAAATAATTTAAAAGGCCAAATGTAAAACATTACCAAAAACTCAATGAGAAAAAGTCATAAACAAATAAGAATATACCCAAGTTTTTGTGCTGACATATGCATACACCAGAACATGGGGGACTGAGACAGGAGGATTGTAAGCTTAAGGTAAGCATGAGTTACACAGCAAGAATGAAGCCACATTGCACTACAGTAAATTCCAGACTAGCCTGGGTACAAAACAAAATCCTATCTCTATAGAAAGTACAAACAAAAACAAACAAGCAAAGACCTTAATATATATATATATATATATGTGTGTGTGTGTGTGTGTGTGTGTGTGTGTGTATTTATGTATGTATGATTTGTATATCATATATGTATATATTATTAAATCAATAACTTGATATACTTGAAAACTCTAGAAAAACTCATTAATTTTTTAAAATTTTTATTATATTAAAAAGTTTTTTTCATTTTGCATACCAATCCCAGTTCCCACTCCCTTCCCTCCACTTTCTCCTGCATCCCACCCCTCACCCCATCCACTCGTCAGAGTGGGTAAAGCACATTGCTTTGAGGAAGGACCAAGGCCTTCCCTACTGTATCTGGGTTGAGAAAGATATCCCTCAAAAGAGAATGTGTCCAAGAAGCCAGTACAAGCAGTAGGAATAAATCCTTGTCCCATTGCCAGTGACCCCACAGTCTGTCCCAGCCATACAACTGTCACCCACATTCAGAAGGTCTAGTTTGGTCCTATGTTGATTCCTTCACTTTCTAGCCAGAGTTGGTGAGCTCGCATTAGCTCGGGTAAGCTGTTTCAGTGGGTATCCCAATCCTTTTTGCAAAAATTCTCACTCCTCCCATAATATTCTTTCTAAGAATCCATAATGCATCCACTGATAGAACCAGTAAAACAATATTTGTTGAGTATCCTCCCAAATACACATCAGTGAGCAATCCAGAATCCCAGTCCTCACAAAGTTTGGGTTCTAAAAGTTCAAATGGCAAATAAACAACTAAGTAGTTATATTTATAACACAATGCCAGGTGATGGACCTCTAGAATCAATAAAGCAGGTTCACCGACTTTAGGAAATAATAAAAATATTGCTTTGTTTTGTTGCTTGCTTTTGAGACAAGGTCTTATTGAGCTCAAGGTAGCCTTGAACACACTATGAGGATGACTTTGGAGCTTTCACTTACTGGTGTGCACCAACACGTAGTTTATGTGGTCGATACTTGGCCTTGGGATTAAAATCAGGGACTCTTGCATGGGAAGCAAGCATTCTATTAATGACAACACTAGCTCACACGTATGATTATAAGATGAGGGGTCAGGGACGGCTTCCCTAAGGACAGTCAAGGGTACTAAGTGCATCCCTAACAGAACTACTAATAAGATATCCAGGCAGAGGAAATAGTCTGCACAAGGGCCTTGTGCTAAAGGAAATGTAAGACTCCAATAATTAAGGTAAGTGGGGGTCACAGGGAGGTAGGAAAAAGCACCCAGGATCAAAATATGCAAGTCTGATAAACATATGGTTTGGACTCAGAAGAGTGAGTAAAAACATCATTAGAAAACTTAAATGGTGGTCTTGGCTACTAGGTGAGGAGGATGCAGAATGCAGAAGTTGAGGAGAGGAAACACCAACAGGGAGGATGTTCTGCCTCCAGACAAGAGATGATCCTGTCTACTCTACACACAGAGGCTGCAGATAAGGAAGAGGGGGAATGTGAGAGCTTGGGTTAGGATAAGGAACAAGGAGCATGCTCTATGTTTTTACTCAACTAATGAAGGCAAAAAGCAGGCTAATAGGCCCAGATTGGGGCAGGAACTGGGATTTAATAATGGACATGTGAGTCTGAGGTGCTTGTACTTCTTAATAGAGTCAGTTTGGTATGGTTTGACCATATTTGAAGATCAGGTCTGAGTTAGTGATAGAAATCGTAAGTCATAGATAACATCTAGTGGAAACTTGATCTTGGTCCCCTTGGAAGGAGGAAAGCTGTCTGAGCACATAGATCTGGGTGAGTCGTACCCTCAGAACTTAAAATGGCAAGGATAAAGGAGATAATGGCGGTAATAGAAAAGTAACAGAGTCGAGGAGAGACTAATTAGAGCATGCTATATAAATGTAAGAATTATAAAAACAAATGCAATTGATAAAAAATAAAGACAAGGGAGACCATCAAAGAATCTAAAGAAAATAAGCAGGGCGAAAGTGGAACCATTTTTCAGGTTTTCATGCAGCGTGGGCAAACTCAGTTCAAATGGAAAATCACGTCCCTGGTGGGAGAAGTAGAAATTTCTCCAGCACCCAGCTACAAAAATCAATATGCAATGGCACTATGGTTGTATGAGCAAGGAAAGAAGGAAGAGACTGAGCACAACCCAGTTTAGGAGACATTTGGAGAGCAGGGAGACGAATCTTAAGGTGCCCCTCCACCATTCTCTCCAGAATGACCTTTCAAGTCCTCACAGAAAAGAAAGATGGATTCATGGGTCACTGGGTTAGTTCAAGGTGATGTGAATGCTGCACATGGCTAAGGGGTGAGTGAGGATGATTCTCTAACATATGCTCAGTGTTGAGAGATGACAATATGTACATTTGACATGTACACAGGCATTCATAGAGGTCCCAGTAGTGATGTCATAGTATCTCTTAATTACCAAGTATCCCTCCTAGGTATGGATTTGGTAATACATCAGTACAGACTCCAATCCTAGACTTTGGTTCCTGTTTTCAAGGGACGATAGGGCCTCTAGCTCTTTTACATGCCTGCTGCCTTTGCCATAGGCATCATGGTCAGACATAACCCACCTGTGTTGAAGAATTGGCTAGTCCATTCTGCCTCTGTCTTTGGAAACACAGAAACTGGTGGGGGCAGACCCAGAGTTCTCCCATCCAGATCGATGAAGAGGTATTTTCTTGGATTTTCCCAGTCTGATTCATGGCAAACGGTTTCCTCTAAGTCTTTCCTGTGGAGAAAGGGAAGAGGCAACTCTCTCATCACATGATAGGCAGCAAAATAAAAGCTTATTGGCGGGGCTGTCCTTGCAGCCAGTCAAGGGAGTCCCCAGCTTCCTATCCTGCCACATGAAGCTAATATCCTTCACCTAGTATGGCTGACCTGTATAGTAGCCTTCCCTGGACATCAGTCATGAGACATTTTGATTTTTGTACTCCCAAACTCCAAAACTATCAGAAATAAATATTTGGTCATTATAATAAATCATCTACCTTATGGCATTTTGGTATAGGCACAAATGGACCAAGGGGTATAGCTTTCATCCCACTAGTAAGACACAATTAACAAATAATAACACAGCAGAAATTGTGTGACTAACTGTACTGAGTTACCTACAATAGCTCAGGAATGGACATTTAAAAAGAAACAGTTTAGGTCAAACACGTCAATGTTCCATATGTGGTGGTTTATTTAGCCCATCCCTTTTCTCCCTAAAGCAGATTGTTTTTTCCAGTGTGAGAAAGCATAACCCATCTTTTTTTTATTTTCAGATCCTTGAATAAACCTCTCTGTTCATATTCAAGACCATAAGAGTAGTAGTTACACATGACCTATGACTCATTGTTTATCTTTGGAGTTCCTAGCAGTAGGTAAAATCTCCTTCCATAACCTTATCCTGCTCAATGTCTCCCTGAGCCCCCATCTGAAACTGAAAACTTTGTGCCCCATGATAGAGGAAAGAATGGGGTTGATTTGAATCAGCTCTATTGAAAATATCTATAAGAAAAAAACAATAAAAATAACAATAAAACTGTCACAAAATCACTTCTTTAAAAAACAGACTCAAGAGGGGAGAAATCAGTAACTAGCATTTGTTGTTGGTGAGCAACATTATTAAAGTCATATATGAAAGGACAAGAATACAGGGGTGATGGGTAAAACACTGGGACCACTAAACGAAGGCACCAGCCCTTTCTACAGGGATTAATTTCGATTTGTGTGATGGTGTTATAATGTTTAATGTCTTATGGATTTAAAGAGTTGATAACTGCCTCAACATATAATGTCTTGTCAGTACTGAAAGTGGTACCTGGGCTGTGATGGAGGAAAGTAGAACTTGTTTTTGTCCTTCATCCTTAGCATCCTGGTCCTCTCTGCTGTTATTGGGTACATGATTCCAGTGCTGTATTCATTAGGCAGGATGCAGATATCCAGGTCACCACGATAACAACTCTTTACAAAACTAGAAAATGTGACATCTGAAACATTAAACAGTATATCACAAGATTATATCATGTGCACTACCAACCACAAACAGATACTATACTACATATTCCTTTCATAATGTGTATTACAAGAGCCAATTTAATTGAATCAGGATAACCCCAGGAAGTTTATTTGAATCTTAGTAACAAAATATCTGGGCCATACATGAACACTATATGAAAAAAAAGACAGCAATTCCAAGCTAGAAAGCTGGCTTAGTGGTTAGGGCAATGACTGTTCTTCCAAAAGACACAGGTTCAATTTCTTGCAGCTACATCGAGGCTCACAGTCTTCTTTAACACCAGTTTTGGGGTCTAACTCTCACTTTCTAGCCCTTGTGGGTACTTCATGTATATGCTGCACAGATCTGTATATATATGGCAAAGCACTCACACACATTAAATAATAAAAATGCCTCTAGAAACAATAATTTAAATACATTACAATCTTTAGGAAAAGTTAAATTAAAAACTTGATGAAAATCTATTTTAGGAAATATTCAAAAAAACTACCAGATAAGACTAAATATATGAGGAATAAGTACATAATTACCAAAACTATCTGATAGAAGATAAAAAATGATGTCTTTAAGCCTAACCATCTTCATAGATGGCTTCACAGAAGCCAACTACAAAGCTGAGGTATACTTTCTATGTCTCAGTTACTTTAGTGGACAGTAGGGAAAATGATTTCTATCCAAGAGTTATCTTTGAGTTAGATGGTTACAATGAAGTCTCTCCAGCAAGAAGAAAGCAGTAACTTCTGTAAGGAATCACTCACTGCCTTTAATATGCAGGGTGTTGCTCTTCGACATTCGGGCATCAGCCAGACAAGCAAGCACTAGGCCACACTGGACCTTCTTGTCGTATGATTTTGGAATGCTTCTGAAAGTTGTGTGCTTGCGTGTGCAAAGGCACATTCTTAGGACAAACTCCAGAATCCTACCTTGAAGCTTCATGATGCCGGAGACTAAATGGCCACTTCTCACTTTGTGCCATGGCTCCTGAGGCCATTGATTTGGTTCTGAGGTGAAAACTGGCCACAGGATGCCAATCCGGCCCCCTCTGGCATTGGAAGGCGCTCTGTCTGTTGATGTCCAGTTGGCTGACTGAGGTGTCTTCCTGTCTTGAATGCAGTCAAAAGAGGAGCTAGTGGCCACAATGACTGAATTCCTAAGCACAATCTGCACATCAATAATGGAGCTCAGTGGAGCAGAAGATACAGATGCAGCTGCCAAAAGGCCAATAGTATTGTCTACCAGAGTGATGTTCTGCAGGACCAAACTATTTTCCGTCTGTACCATGGCACCATAGTCAAAGTTCTTAAAGGCCAGAAATCCAGAGACACCAGTACAGTTGTTGGGTTCGTGTCTCTTATAGAGGTGAAGGCCATGGAGGCTTGAGTGGACCACATTGTCAGACCAAAGCATTTCAGAAGAGCAGCCATGGCCACATATATGAAAGCCAAGTCTTTCTGATCCTGCCACTGCATTGCCATGGAGAATGACATCCTTTGCATAGTTCACTTTGATTCCTGCCACCCAAGGAGATAACTTTGTTGACTGCATCGTTAAGATGACAAGGTTATTAGTGAGAGAATAGTTCAGACCCTCCAGATCAATGCCATGGCCATTGGTACCAAATACTATGTTGTCGTTTAAAATGATCCCATGACTGGCAGATGCATGGATGCCCATGCCGCAGCTCTGGTGTATGGTAGAAGATATCACCCAGGATCCTGCTGATATACCAGTGAACTCAATGGATGCATACATTGGTGACCCCAAGTTTTGAATTTCTACATTTAGAAGTTGAAGAACACCTACAAAGAAAATGTGCATATTCAAGTCAAGTCCATTCTTATGCACCACAAAATATCAAAGGAGCTTATTTTGGGGGCATCAAAATATGCAGATATTTAAGTAAAATATAAACATTAGTTTTACACTCAAACTATATATCACACCATAAATTCTCATTAACAAATATTAATCAGTGGAAATAATACATTCTTGTCTACAAACAGCCATGTGCAGTTTGGACTCTGATATAAGAAGTAAAAATAAGTATAAGGCAGGAAACGGCTTTGGGGAGGTACACAACTGGTTTCCATATTCTCTGCATTGACTGGATCAAGGGCACTGGCCCAGCATGTGTGAGAATTCATGATCAATTCCCAGGAGTAAATATGAACATTTCTTCAAATGACCTCCATGAAATCTTTTCTATTTTTTAATCTTAGCTACACTACATTTCCCACTTTATTTTTAAGACAATGAAATTTTGCACATCTTTGATGAAAATTAAAACTTACATAGTCTCACTGAAGACTTCAAGCTAATTTGAATGCTGTCAGTTTTATGCACTGTGTTGCTACACTGCTGCTTGAACCTGCAGCCCTGAGCCTACTAGGCCATTATTCTACCACTAGCTATACCTCTAACATGGACTTTTGGTTGTTTCTTAGTAGAGTTTCATTAATTTGTCTGCTCAGGTCTGTAATTTGTGATTTTCCTGCCTAAGCTTTCTGAGTAGCTTGGGTCATAGGCCTGAGTAACCATGCCCAGGTTGTTTTATTTTTTACAGACAGAGTTTGACTATGACACCCAAGAAGTGCTGAAACTCATTATGTAACCCAAGATGACTTCAACATCACAACTCTCTTGCCTCTCTCTCCCAAGTTCTAGGATTACAATTGGATATCACATATCTACCTGTACTGCCTTAAAAAGATAAAGTTAAAATCGTAGAGAATTTAGCCTGCACATTGTCTTTAAATTTGAGTATCAATAACAGAGTAAACGCTTTTGGTAAAAATACATAAAATACATACTATATGATTATAGGTTATAAATTAATAATGAAATAAAATAACTATAACATCTAATTTCCATATAACACTGAGTGTAGGTCAAACTCTTCTGTAATGTGTGCGTGTGTACACACACACACATATACACACACACAGAGTACAATTTTATCACAAAGATCCTATGAGTTAGATATGATTATTGTTCCCATTTTGCTGATAAAGAAACTGAGAAAGAAGATAGTTGACAAACTAAGATTTCAACCTGGACATATGACTAAATGTTATGAACCTCATTGCAAATACACACACAGTAGAGTAAAAGGTTCAACACTATAAAATGGAGTAACTTCATACAAAGTCAGATAACCAGACAATAACTGTATGCCAGTCACATATTCATTGCTAGGAAGTTTACAGCTTGACAGCTTGGCTTTTCTCTCCTTTCTCTTTCTTCCTTCCTTCCTTTCTTTCTTTCTTTCTTTCTTTCTTCATTCCTCCTTCCCTCCCTCCCTTCATTTCTTCCTTCATTCTTCCTTTCTTTCCCATTTTGTTTCTTGGTTGTTGTTGCTGGGATTCAAGATGTTTTGTTTTGGTTTGTTTTGGTTTTTGAGGCAATACCCAAAATAAACCATAAAGTTACTTCTTCAATAAACCTAGAGGAAACTAGGCACGTGAAATTTCAATGTTACTATGCTTCAGTACTTTTACTTCAAGCTCAAAGATTGACCAGCCTTAACACCTTCAGTTAATCCACTTCCATTTCAGAGATGGGAAAGTTAAAGCCTTGCAAATCAGTTGCTGTGAAGAAGTCTGTCCCTGTAAGAAGGAGACAGTGAAAGACTGTGTGCATTTCCTAGAACTGGATAAAAGAACTTCAATAATTAATCCTCCTGGTTGGCAATGACTGAGAAGCTTCTGGTAGATGGTATAGAAATTGTGTTAAACATTGTTGTATAGTAGTAAACTCTGAGCCAAACTTCCACCATCTTCAGCAGTTCTGCTGGCCCCACTCACAAAAGATCATCACCGCTAGGTCTGTTGACTATTTACCTTCCTTCATAGAGGGAATTAGCAGTCATAGGACCCCTACCTGAGTATTCAGTCACCCCCTGCTCACAAGTTGTATTCAATTATACCTAATTTCATGTGGTCTTTGGAAAGGAGCTAGAGGATATTGGGAGACGGGATGGCAGAGGTATTCTATCTATACAGACATGGAAAAGAAATCCTTGCTGGCCACCTATCCTCCTGCCCAAAGCCCTTGCCTATTTTTCTACAAGTAAGCGTAATAAATTCATAAGTGACCCAGAGTGAACTTTGGTGTCGTCACATTTAGTTGATTTTTGTGATAAAAGGAGGAGATGGGTAGATGTTGTTTACATTCCCCCAAGGAAAGGACTTTAGCACAAAATGTTAAAATGCGAGATGTCTCTTGATATTCTTTGCCAATAGCACACAACTGAAAGATGTGTTCTACCTGTCCTAGTCATAGAACTTTGAAACGAACAACACCAAATGGAAATACAAGTTCACATGTTAACAGCCTGTTTCTTATTATGCATGGCGATTTTAGGCTCTCATGAACATATCCTGTGAGCAATATTTCAATATCTTATTTCAATGTGGTTCCGATTCACAGTTTCACACTGCTCAACATCCTTTCGTTTGAATGTACAGATCGCCTCCTTTCTCTCTTTCAAATTCCCATGCAATCTTTTTTATCCTAAATATAACGTTCTCAGTCTATATATTGTTCTCAGTCTATATATTGTTACTCATTTGTACATTCCCAGGACTGGCCATTAATATTGGAGAACCAGTTGGCTTGCTCTTCCTTAAAGGAGGCTGTTTCTCCAGTGTTTAGAATTTTGTAGTTGCCTGCAGTTCTTTGTGAAGGCTCCATGGTCCTCCCTTGTTTTTCTGTGGCATGATTTTTTTTAGTATGAGACTATTAGTAATACTTTATTCACAATTAGTAATACTTTTTGAAGGATTTATTTTCTTTTTTTCTATTGAACATTTTATTTTTTTTTCCTTTTTTTTCAAAGTTTATTAAATTATAAAAGTTTCCATTTCCGCCCCTCCTCCCAACACCCTCCCACTCCCCCCACTCCCTCTCCATCCCTAAGAGCAGTCAGGGTTTCCTGCCCTGTGGGAAGTTCAAGTTCCTCCCCCCTCCCTCCAGATAGAAGAGAAAGTGGGAAGTAGTCTACAAGACATAGGCACAGGAGACCACTTCCTAGGTAGAACCCCAGTAGCATAGACAATAAGAGAATCAATGAATTAATGAGACCTCCTGAAACTGAGAAGCTTCTGTAAAGCAAAGGACACCGTCAGTAAGACAAAAAGGCTACCTTCTGACTGGGAGAAGATCTTTACCAACCCCTCATCAGATAAAGGCCTGATCTCCAAAATATACAAAGAACTCAAGAAACTAGACACTAAAATTCAAATTAACCCAATTAAAAAATGGGGTGCTGATCTGAACAAAGAATTCTCAACAGAAGAACTTCGAATGGCCAAAAGACATTTAAGGTCATGCTCAACCTTCTTAGCGATCAGGGAAATGCACATCAAAACAACTATGAGATACCATTTTACACTGGTCAGATTAGCTAAAGTCAAAAACACCAATGATAGCCTATGCTGGAGAGGATGTGGAGAGAGGGGAACACTCATCCATTGTTGGTGGGAATGCAAACTTGTGCAGCCACTGTGGAAATCAGTGTGGCGGTTTCTCAGGAAACTGGGAGTCAACCTCCCTCAAGACCCAGCAATTCCACTCTTGGGAATATACCCAAGAGATGCCCTATCATACCACAAAAGCATTTGTTCAACTATGTTCATAGCAGCACTATTTGTAATAGCCAGAACCTGGAAACAACCTAGGTGCCCCTCAATAGAAGAATGGTTAAAGAAGGTGTGGAACATATACATTAGAGTTTTACTCAGCGGTAAAAAACAATGACATCTTGAATTTTGCATGCAAATGGATGGACATAGAAAACACTTTACTGAGTGAGGTAAGCCAGACCCAAAAAGAGGAATATGGTATGTACTCACTCATAAGTGGATTCTAGCCATAATTAAAGGTCTTTGAGCCTATTATTTGTGATCCTAGAGAAGCTAAATAAGAAGGTGAACCTGAAGAAAATCATGTAGTTATCCTCCTGGAGATTGGAAAGAGACAAGAGGGCCAGAACCTTCATCTGGCGATGGATGGAGATAGAGACAGAAACCCACATTGGAACACTGGACTTAATTCCCTAGGTCCAAACGAGAAGCAGAAGGAAAGAGAATGTGAGCAAAGAAGGCAAGACCAGAGGGAACCTTCATCCGACGATGGATGGCGATACAGACGGAGACCCACATTGGAGCACCGGACTGAGCCCCCCAAGGTCCAAATGAGGAGCAGAAAGAGGAAGAACATGAAAAAGGAAATCACGACCGTGAGGGGTGCGATCACCCACTGATCCAAGGGGACTGATCTAAGGAGAGTTCACCAAGGCCAGTTGGACTGGGACTGAATGAGCACATGATCCAACCAGATTCTCTGAATGTGGCTGGATTCTCTGGATGTGGCTGGCTCGGAGTCTTTCTGAAAAGCCATTGACAATGACACTGGGACTTGTTTCCTCTGCATATACTGGATTTTTGGGATCCAGTCTGTGTGGCATTATTTGTTACTGTCATCCTTATTCCGCTCTTGTATAGACAATCTCACAGCAAACTCTCTGCTCGACTGGCTATTACACTCTTTCCCCCATCCCTCGTCTGCAATGACATGGGTTATTTTATAAAGCAAGGATTCTTTCTTAATGTAGTATGAGAACCTGGACTGTATACTGGACAAAAGGGATTATTAACAGGAAAATATTTCCACTTTGGAAAAACCAGAACAGTTCCAGTCCACAGAAGCATTTAACATAATCTCTCTCTCTCTCTCTCTCTCTCTCTCTCTCTCTCTCTCTCTCTCTCTCTCTCTGGTAAAAGCTATAGGTTAGCAATTACGGAGATGTAGGGTTCTCTCAGGCTTTGCCCTCAACTGTAAGATTTGGCTTTCTTTCCTATTCTGGTGAACTGGTTTTTATTAGCTGGGTTTCTATGATCCTCTTCCCTCCTGATGTCCCAACTACAATCATTTCTACAAGACCATACTCCAGCTTTTGTTTCTGTCTTCTCGAGCAATATTGTCGGACTTAAACCCCATGTTACCTTGAGCCAGACATTTCTTTCTTATATGTTGCTGCCCTGTGCATTTGGCAACTATCCATTGAGTTCCAGAAAACCCCCCAGTAAATACCACCAGATGCTGAGAATTTTCTTCCCAGAGAGCAAATTCACCTCTCGCAAGAACACATAGAGACAGAGCTTATGAACAGTGTTTTTTCTATTCACTAGAAATTGTAAAGTTCTGACTTAAGATCAGAATATTCCAAAATAATGAATGGATGATGCCAAGAATCATCCCATGATGTTTATACTTGGTTAAAACACTTTTTTCAGGTCATCTCTGAATGTTTATTATATGTAAGTACAAAATTACTTTCTTCTCTTTAAAAATATAGATCATATTGTATTAAGTCTTTGAGAATTTCATAAATACATACAATGTATTTTGAACCCAGTTAGTCAAATTAGTGCTACTCATAAAGTCCTGGGTAAGGGGACTTACACTGGAATGTACTCAACCCACCAGGCACACCATTAAAGACAGGAGACTCTTTCTTACCAAGAAGCCATCATTAGTCAATGACTGCTCAGTTAGGGAGAAGAGGTTCATACAGTAGGAGTGACTGGCTTGATCTTGTGTATGTCTTACACAGGCAACTACAGCTTCTGGGAGTGATTGAGTATGGTGGTCTCATCATGCCTTAAAGACACGGTTTTTATCTAGTCTTCCTCAACCTTATAGTCTTTCTACTTCTTTCTCTGGCCCTGAATATTGGAGTGATGAGGGTTGTGGTAGCTTGAAAGAAAACAACCCCCCCAAAGATAGTGGCACTAATGGGAGGTGTGATCTTATTGGAGTAGGTGTGGTCTTGTTGGAGGAAGGGTGTTACTATGGAGGCAGACTTTGAGGTCTCATACTGCTCAAACCACACCTCGTGAGACAGTTCACTTCAAGTTGCCTGAAAGATACAGGACTCTCAGCTACCTTTCCAGCACCATATCTGCTTGCTTGCTATCATGTTTCATTGTGATGATAATGGACTCTGCTCTGAAATGTAATTTGCTCTGAATTTGTAAGCAAACCACCACAATTACATGTTTTCCCTTTTAAGAGTTGCCATGGTCATGGTGTCTCTTCACAGCAATAGGAACCTTAACTAAGACAGGGGGTGATATTGATCTACCACTTTTGGCTGAACACTTCCCAGATACTACCCTACACAGTTGAATGTTTCTATTTTAACTGCCCGCTGCACCAAGAAACTTCTCTGATTAGGCTTAAGAGGCGAACAAATGAATAATAGACATTGACAACTTCCATCTTAGAGTAGAAATGATGGCCTCCACATAAAGAGAGGAGATTTTCAGCTATGTGAGAACATTCTTCTGTCTCCTGTCCTTTATTATATTGTGCTCATCACTTGCATTGCATCCTCATTTTATCTCATAGAAGAATAAGAAGAAAAATCTCATTAATAAAAATAAATGATTTCCTTTAGTTATAGAAACTAAAGCACAAAAGAATCATTTTTAGATTTATCCAGACGTTTTCTAATAAAAATATTTTTGAAAAGAAAGAACAAACAAACAGATATCCTTTAAGGAATAATAGAAGAAAATCTATATTTTTAGGTAAAAGAAAATAGAATTAATCTGCAGTGGATGTATGCTCCAAGAAGTATTCAAGTAAATTACTAAGAATCAAAGGAAATGTTTTTATAAATAAGTTCAGATCATAAAGGATAGAGACACAGTTGTTTTTGAAGATGGAGCAGTCCTGACAACATCTACCAAACTAGTTGATCAGGAAGAGCTTTGCAAGATTATAGTCAGAACATTTAATAAATAAGGCCATCAATTTTGCAAGATTCTAAAAGAGGTGAAGCATAAATTTCAAAGAAAAAGATTTCATTGATCTTTTAAAATGATTGAACTAATCTTTAAAACACTTTAAGAGGGAAATTATTCGTATTTAAATTACAGCCACTCGTTTGTAGCATGACTCATGTCTAACACTAGATATTGCGTACTGCTGGGAAAATGTAAGAGAAAATTAGGAAAGTGACAAAATTCAAATAGTTATGAAGTCATCTGTCATTTCAAAGCAGAGGGAAATTCCCATCTGCTGAAGGTGTTTTCCTTGAGGTTAAAAGGCACATATGCACTGATCTCTAGGATGTTATTTAACTTCACACTGCTAATTTAGTGAAGACTGGGGCTGAAAATTCACAGCTTCCTGGAGTACAAAGAAGTCACCTAATTCGATCATTTTGCATTACAAGTGAAAATTCTCCCAGTTGAAGTTTCTGAGAGCCCCAGATGAGTGGTTCAGAATTACTTAGTAGCTAAATGGTAATGCTTAGAGACCGAAATTTTCATTTCACTTACCGGAAAGCTCTTCTCTGCTAGAATTCCTGAAGGACCCCACAAGGAGTCTCCCTCTACAGGACGAGTCAGGTTGAATTTTAATGTTCCTAGTCAATAGTCCAACCTCAGCAGCCAAAGGAATGCGTTGACCATCCTCCATAATATGGGCACTTCCTGGAGAAACAGGGGTCAGAGGCAAACAACTTTTAACTGGCTGCCTTGGAAATCACCAGCTGGGGACCCTACTGTACCTCACAAATGAAAGTTTCTATTCCTGTTAGAAGTTCTCCCAACATGAAAGCCAGCCTTTCCTCAGGCACACTCCACAGATGTCAGTCAAGAAATGAAAAACCTGTTCACTTGTCCCTCTTTGGGATCAAAGAGAATGTGTGAGCAATAATTCATTTCTTCTCAATAAGTCTGGGCACTAGGACAGGCCACTTGTTCACAGATTTGTCTAGTTAGTAGAGTCCACAACGTCCTTCCTTTCTTGCATCATTGTGAGGCTGTGGTATTTGACTACACATCGTCCAGACACTTCCATCATGGGAGTAAAACATGCCAGATCAGATGAGGCAGTGGTAGAGAGTAAGCATTAATGTTAGAGAATGAAGGGCGTAGAAGGGATGGGGCTAAGCACAGTAACCTCCTCTCCTGCTGGACTCTGCCATCGGCCACCTGGACCATCTACCTGAGCAGGAAGTAAGGGGGGAGCCTTGTTTTCCTATTTCCACTAACATTTTATGATGACTCCTGTTGCCCAGGGTTAATAAAGATATCTCTTTTCTATGCTATGCTGTTAAAATAGAAAATCAGTCTGGACATAGAGAAACATGCCTATAATACTAGTTAACTAGTGGCTGAGGCAGGAGACTGTCTAGAGCCCAGAAATACAAGACCAGCACAAGTAACAGAAAAATCCCACTTCAACAACAATAGTAAGTGGATGAGGAAGTGTTAACCCTGGAACAATAACATACAAAGACTTTAGACAGTCTTGGTGAGCATTTACACCTTCCTTATATCTGATAAAATTCACTGACACTTGTTTTGTTTGTTTCATTACTTATCACTCCTGAGTTAAACTTCTTTCATGCACGACAGGAGGGTGGTTTTCTTTGATGGCTATTAGTTCTGTAACAAACTTACTTCCTGTTTTTACAAGGAGGTATCTGAGTTTTCCTGTTTCTTCTGTTTGGTTTTTTCTTGATCATCTTAATAGACAATATATTAAATGTATTGTGTCAAGAAGCATACATTTCTATATAAAGTAAAGTTACTATTTATACTATTTATTGTATTCCAAGGGACCCAGAATTCAATGAAATGAAATAGACTGGTACTTAGTGTCAACAAGTTTTTTTTTCTGACTTAGTCAAAAACTATCTGATTTTTAAATACATTTCTACTCTCCTCTTAGACTTGCCATTATGAGCAATTAAATATCTGTTATATCTAAACATTATTTTGAAAGTAAACCATATGCTAAGTATGACTGTGCACACCTTTAATCCCAGCACCAGGGAGGCAGAGGCAGACAGATCTCTTTGAGCTTGAGGCCATCCTGGTCCACATAGCAAGTTCTAAGACAGCCAGGACTATATAATGAGACCTTGTCTCAATACATAAATAAAATAAAAGAAATAGTAGTAAGCCAGGTACAAAGGCATGGGCCATGTATGCTTATAATTTCAGCACTGGAGAACTAACGTAAGAGAAAGAGTTTGAGTAGCATGCTTGTATTACTTAATCATACCCTGTCTCAAACAAACAAAAAACATCAAAGGCAGAAGGAAGCAAGGAAAGAAGGAGAGGAGAGGAGAGGGAAGGAGAAGGGAGAAGAAATGAAAAGAAGGGAGAAAAGGAAAGGAATAAAATTGAGAAAAGTTTCTAAGATAAGTACAGGGCAGTAATCAGAAAACCTCCTTCCACTCTTAATACCAAACAAGTACACTATGGTTGGGAGGGCTGTCAAGTCAATCCTTCATGGCCCACCCATTTCCTTTAACCAACAAAGCAAAGCCTTACCAATGTGTCGGTGTCTAAGACGTTCATAGATCCTGATGTGATAGCCCTTGATTTCCTTGATTGTGAGGACCTCTGCCTCATGAGGCTCATAAGAAGAAGAGCTGAGGACGATCTTGTCGTGGGGCAGCCAATTCACTTCATCATCTACTATAATTCTATAAACACAGAAAGCAGATGTCAGAGATACTAATAAAACAACAGCGATCAAAAAGTAACCCAAGAGAAAGTAAAACACACAACATAAATAAAAATAAGCATATGTCACTATGGAAACTAAAAGAGAGAGCAAAACAAATCACAAGGAAAAAAGCTTTGTTGAACATTGACTACTGTGCATAGAGGAAATGCTGAGTTCATAAAGTCCTTACTTTGCAAATATGAAGACCTTAATGTGGTCCCCGAAACCACATTTTACAAGGCCAGGCATGGTGGTTCATTTTTCTATTCCCAGTAACGTGGCAGAGATTAGTAATCATACCTTCATGTGTTTTGGCTAACAGCCAGCTCACTTCTTGACTATGAAACAAGTTCAGGAATAAAAATATTTCTTTTCATGTCTTCTGAAGATAAACTAGTCTTTTTTGGAAATATATACAAAAATCCTAATACTGTCCTGGTCAGACAGATAGAGTTATGAGTTTTCAGAATTCTAGCTCCATCTGTGCAACCCCAAGAAGCTGTTTGGTTTTTCAAGCTTTGTATCCTCAGTGATGAAGTTGGACATTTCTATCTCACCCTGCCATCCAAATTGCATTGTGTGGAATAGTGGGTGTCTATTACTCCCGTGCACTATTCCAAGCATTGTGCTTTTAACTCTGTAAGTCAGTGTGAGTTTTGTAGATACATTTCCTTAGACTTACATTAAATTTATTTTCTCTTTGATCTTTCCTGGCTGTGTGGCTTTTTCTTAGTGAATAGGACTCTTTTTCTCTCCGTTCACAGTAGGTGCTCATTTCAACAATGCAAATTCACTCTGGAGCCTTTCACCAAACATCCATGTAGTTATGTCACCGTAGCCGATGTCTCTCACTTAGCTAACAGTGACGACAGTCTGTACAATGTGTAAATTTTCACCAAGGTCACAGGGGCTGGACAAGTCATCAGTTGTGGAGCATACATTGACAGAGCCACTAATAAGTGACAGACATTATAGATCCTCATAGAGTCTCAGTCGTGCCCTTGATTTCCCATGATATAGATGATTCAATAGCAGAACAATTGAACAAATGCTATTTTTAAAGCAAAAGCGAGGCTGGACTTATGGCTCAGCTCATAGAGTGTTTTCCTAGAGTGCACGAAGCCATGGATTAATACCCAGTACCCCATAAGCTTGGTTTAATGGTGCACAGCTATAATAATATAGCACTTGGAAGGCAGGGGCAGGATGACCTAAAGTTCAAAATCATGCTCAGCTAAGTAGAGTTTGAGGCCAGTCTGAACTACAAAGAATACGTCTCAAAAGTAAAAATAAAAGAGAGAGGATGGTCAGGAAGGAAGGGGAAAAAAAGAAAATGAAAGGAAGGAATGGGGGAGGGAGAAAGGAAAGATGGAAGGAAGGGAGAGAGGAAAGAAGAAAAGAAGGAAGGAAGGAAGGAAGGAAGGAAAAAGAAACTTTGACAATGAAGATTAAATAGTAACTCAAGGGTGGATAATCAAATGGAGCCAAAGACTGGGTTATATGAAGTAAGATTCTTGACCCAGTCCAGAGATACTTTTACTAAACAGCATCACCTTGCCAGGGTCTTCCCTGCCTGCTAATGAGTAATGGGGGGAAGCAGTAGCTAAACATTTCAGTTATATTATTGCAAGCCCTCAAATAATAACAAAACTATGTAAGCAAAAGTCAAGAGAACACTATATAGTCAACTAAAAATTCAATGTTTGGCATAACTGAGTTACAAAAACTTTCTTCCTAATGTATTGACTTTTTAAGAGAAACTATCAAATAATATGCCTCATTTTTAAACTAAAAATAATACATGCACAAAATGGAAGACAAAGAATGTCTGTTAAAATATTAACCTATATAGGCGCTGTATAATTTTTTCACTTAGGAATGTGTTTTCGTACTTAATGAATAGCACACTATGCTAACAGCTTCGGATGCAGCATAGTAGCAGTGCCTGCCATACAGATCCAAGGTCTAGGGTTTAATACAATGAAAAGGGAATGGGGAGAAGAAGATAAAGGAAGTGGGGAGACAAGATAAGGAGTGAGGTGCACAAGAAGAGGGGTAAGAAAAACAACTGTTAGTACAAGCCAAATCACAGGCAATCATTAACAGAATAGACACTAACACGGTCTTCTAATCATGACCTAGATCACTTAGAGAGTCTTCTCATTACTATTTACAGTTGTTGAATGAAGTTCTTCAGATAACAAATAACTATAATAGTCAATAAAGTTCCTTATAATTGAGACATGCCTCAATGGAGGCATAGGATGGCTTTAGCGCACTGTAGAGAGGTAAATCGATACCTTCATACATTTGTCAAAACCCACAGGATACTCAATATCAAGTTGGAACCCAAATGTAACTTATGGGAAAACGTAAGTCCTGTTTTGCAAGTAGCCTTTCCTGAGCCTTTTCCTCTGGTCAAATGGGTCTGCTTCCTCTCCTGCAGCCAAGTCATTTTAAAGGATACTGAATCGCTTTACTGTGCTTCAAGAAGTCTTCTCGAGGAAGATCAAATCTTTAATCACCAAACTTCTGACATAACAAACTTTAGTCCTCAGACTGGTGTCCTGCCTTCTCTTCGTTGATAGTATTGGTCGCTAATTAATGGAAACACGAGCATGGTGTAATTTATTAGTCCAAACATAACCCTATACTAAAAATGAATGAGATTAACCTCACTGTTTCTATTAAGACTTCTTGAAACATAACAGCTTCACCAAGATTTCCTTCTCCTTTGTATGTGAGAAGCTTTGGAATCCAGTCTGTCAGAAGAACAGTATGCAGATGTAAAAGAACTGAGCCTCGTGTCTGCGTCTGCAACATTAACTGTGGGAACCACAGAGATGTCTGTGGCAGCAGGATCTGGAGCCTCGTTACTACAACTCGCTAAGAGTCGGTGTTCTTTAAATTTCAACATCCCCATTTCAGCAACAGTTTCCTCCCACGATCACTAACTTACAATAATCTCCAAAACTACAACTTAATGACTATGAAAATAAGAAGTCTTAACTGCACTCTAGGCTTTTGGTAACACTAATGAGAGTCATGTAATAGAGAGGAGGGCAAACTTAGCAGTTCTCTGAGAAAAATATATCTAAAATGATCCACCGACCAACTGGTGGCAAGTAAAATCATGTGGGAAAGAAAGAATAAAATTCAAAATATAGCAGTGGGTGTCTCCTGAAAGGCAACATTTTTCTCTGAAAAAAGAAAGTCAGCACTCTTTTCTTTATTTTGGCATTAATATTTGACCCTGTTTTAGGAAAATATAGTCTTTGATTCCCCACAGGATACCAATCAATCAGGTTATAAAGAACAAATTTTATAAATTTAGTTCAATAGCTTTTACAACTATGCATAGAACATTCACATGTATACACCTATAATTTCAAAGGATAAGATAGAAACTTATCACCTTCTGAAATGACATTCTCCCCGTACCATACCAATTCAGTTGTTCTATCTAGAACTTCACCACAGCCTAGGTGTTCTTGTACGAATCTCCCTCTAGTCTATGAACAAACACAAAGGGGGAGTAATGCCCCCTCAGATTGGGAAGCTAGATAAAACTCAGTGACTTTGTGAATGCACATAGTCTACAGCTGTGGAGAAAACTGTTCTTAAGTAGAAAGATGAGGTCAAAATAGAGAAGTACAAAAATTTAGAAACTAGAGGGAGGGGCTCGAATGGTCCCAATCCAAAATGAATCAAGAAATTTTTATTTTCTTTCCCTAACAGAAGCTTGACTGCCTATCAGCTCCCCTGTCAGTCTTTGTGCCAGAAATTGAGCTATAATTCCCATTCATTAATGCATTTGATTTGGATAATTATTATATTAGCTAGGCACTATTACTCTCATAATTACAGGAAAAGAAACTATTACTCAAGAGGGCAATTTAGCAAAGTTATACATTTAGTAACTCATATGCGAATCTCACTGTTCAAGCCTTCTCATTAGAGTACTTTTCTTCCTTATTCCTAACGTTAAGTATTTAACCTCCATGAAAGAGTTTTCCATTTGAGGCTAGGACACAGTGCTTCAGTAGATCCTTAGAATCCATTTTAGAAGCTGTACACAGGATCACTAATTGCTAGTGAGTGGGAAAAGGGACACTGACTCTATGTTCTAATACATAAACATAATTATGATAATAACAAATTTTGAATAGTATGTAAAAAAACTGGTTAAAATTTAACTTGAGGGGGAAATGCTGAGATATTAGAAAATACACAGTTGCGCTAACATGCTCTAAGTTCTAGAAAAGATGTAAACAGATACGAGTTGGATGTTTTTGCTGTGCTCTTCCTAGATGCTACCGATTATACAAAACAACATTTCCTCTCTCCAGCGTAGTGCAGTTTAAATAGTTTACCATCTTTCATTAAGAACTACACCAATGTTTTATGGCTACACAAGATGTTACCATTAGGGAACATCAAGCCACAGGTATATGGAAACATAACTACTTATTTACTTGTTATGTCTTAAATTACTTTTAGATATTTTACAAATAAAAGACAGTCATATGCTTTATGAGTCCCTAAAATTTTAAGCCATAAAATCATGTCATAGTGGTTGCTCTGATTAAGCAATTGAGTGCTAAATTAAGAAAAAATGGTTGAATCTCCCAAGATAAGTAGGATGGGGTACAATGATATACAATATCTAATACTCTTATTTGATTGTCTAAGTTTGAAATACTAAAGTTGTTACACAAAGCTTTGTGTGCAGTGCTTAGAAGAGAGGAAAGAAAGATATTCTAAACACAAGATATATCAAAAGCATATCACTAACGTGATACAAGAACCAACAGAGCAGATACTATCGGTGATAGTGTTCAAATTAAAGGTCTGGGTCCTGGGGAAAGGGTGACATAATAAAGATTATTTGTTCTTCAGTGAGTAAACTCTTTGTAGATAACAGCCTGTATTCACAAGCCACTCAAAGCAATTCAAACGTGTCAAAACATCTGTTAGGAAAAAAAAAAAGATGCAAGATAATACGTGACGCAAGGATTAGAAGGAAGAGGGATCCATTGTGTACTGCTGGCAGAAATTTAAATTAGCATAGCTGTCATAGAAAATAGGATGCAGCAGTCAGATATATGGCGCTGCCATTTAGAACAAAGTCCAGACTCAAGGTGATAAGCCAGCTGTCTTGTGCACACCTGTGACATCCAGCTCCAAGGGAAGCTGAAACAGAATTATTGCTGGGACTTCATGGCTTCTAGAGCCTCCGGTTCATGAACACTGATTTAAGGGAATAGGTAGAGAGTCAGAGAGGAGGACCTCAATCACCATCCTCTGGCTCCGAAGCTCAAACATAAATAGGTGTGCACACTTGCACACACACATGCATACATTCATATACCTGAATTTAAAATACATGATATGTACTTATATCCATGAAAAAGAGTGGAGGAAACTTAAAAATTAAAAAGATTAATTGACCTAGAAATATCACCATGAAATACATAGCAAAAGAAAGTCAAGTCAGTGTGTCAAATGGTATGTGTACCTCCATGTTCATTAACTGCATTGTCTACCACAGTCATGACAGGGGAACTATCGAGTGTTTGTCCACTATTAAAAGAAAAAGAAGAAATGGGGCACATATGCACAATGGAACATGGTCCAGCCTTCAGATGGGTGGACATTCTGTCATTTGAACAGCATGGATGAAAATTTTGTTAAGTGTAGTAAGTGGAAGAGTCAGAAACATTCTATCTGATCTCATTTATGTATTAACTAAAGTCTTGATTGCCGAGAGTAAGAAAAAGATTAGGAGACTCGTGATTATAGATAACATCTTATTTGAAAACTACTGAGAACACAGACTTCACTTGTTGCTCAATAATAAATAAATAAATAATATGCAAGCATGTAAAATACTGCAAATGCTAATTTACCCTGTTTAGTCATTCCATGGTTTCAAAACAGAATTTTGAACATTTTTTTTTCTATTCCATTCTTTTAAAAAAGAAAACAAACTATCCTTTTTCACTTTACATGCTGTTCCCACTCCCTTCCATCCTCCCATTCCCTCCACCATCCACCCCACCCCACTCCCCATTTACTCCTCCGAGAGAATAAGGCACATTCTTCTACATGAGAAGTCAAACATTCACTATTTGCAGATAATAAGATAGTATACATAAGTGACCCCAAAACTCTACCAGGGAACTCCTACAGCTGATAAATACCTTCAGTAATGTGACAGGATACAAGATGATCAACTTAAAAAAAAATCAGTAACCCTCCTTTATATAAATGATAAAGAAACTGTGAAAGAAATAAGAGAAACATCACCCTTCACAGTAGCCACAAATAGCAGAAAATATCTTGGGGTAACACTAAGCAAAGAAGTCAAAGACCTGTTCAACAAGAGCTTTGTCTTTGAAGAAAGAAATTGAAGAAGATATTACTGTGGTCCCTTACAGGAATGTAGGTAAGAAACTAAGGACAGCAGAGGTTACTCAAAGGAGCTGTAACACTGCCGAGCCTTCCCACCATGGGTGACAACTAAGGAAATCATTCTCAGTTATGGAAGATTCTTCGGGAAATCAAGTAACTTCAGCAAATGGCTTTTTCTCTCTCCCAGGAATTACTTCCTCTTAAGTAACCCTGAAAATGGCTGTGTGACTCTTGCAAGACTCATGAGTAGCCTGAGATCTGTGAGTTTTCTGAATAACGATGTAGGACAGTTTCTCACTCTGCAGCTAGCCTAGACCTCACTGCATAATCCAGGCTGGGCTTGAACTCAGGATGATCCCACCTCACTGGCTGCTTACCATAATGACGAGTTTGAGCATGGCAAACTTTCCAAATCTTATGAAGCTTCCTCCTCCATCCAGGAGGGGATGTTTCAATTTGGAGAAGACAGTCAGACAACACATAAAACCAATACACTATGATAATTAGACTTTTTCATACAATTTCATTAGAACAATCCTCTTTGAGACTCATTCTAGGAAATGCTATTTTTAATATTTCTATTTTATTTTATTTAATTTTTTCATTTTAAATGCCAGTTCTCCTCCCTTTCTGTCTCCCATCCCTCCTCCTCTCACCATTTCACCCTCCATCCTCTCCTCAGAGTGGGTAAGGCCACTTTTGGTGAGTCAACAGAGTCTGGAATACTAAGTTGAGGCAGGAATAAGCCCCTGCCCCTGTACCAAAGTTGAACAAAGTATCCACTATAGGGAATGGACTCCAAAAAACCAGTTCAAGCACCCTTGATAAGTTCTGGTCCTACTGCCAGCGACTCCCCCAACAGATCAAGCCATGTAACTGTCACCTACATTCAGAGGGAGAAACCTAATACTAGGGAAATTCCCAGAAATCCACAAGGATGGCCTTAGTTAAGACTCCTAATAATACCAGAGAGGGTGCCTGAACAGGTTTACCCCTAATCAGAATAGTGTCTACCCTAATTGTCACCACAGAGCCCACATGCAGTAAATGATGGAGGCAGATGCAGTGATCCAGAGTCAAGCACTGGACTAAGCTCCTGGAGTTCAGCTGAAGAGAGGGAGGGGGGATCATAGGAGCAAGGGAGGGGGAGCATCAAGATCATGATTGGGAACCACAGATGTCCTAACGTAGTAGTGGTGCGGGAGAATTGTCTGTATTCTGTCAATTCATGTATTTTAATAAAACGCTGATTGGCCAGACAGGAAGTATAGGTGGGTCAACCAGACAGGAAGTAGAGGCGGGGCAATGAGAATAGGATAAGGCTAGGGAGGAGGAAACTCCCTTAGCCACTCCTGCGCAGACCACTAGAGAGGAAACATGTAAGCTGCCCAGCTGAAAAAGGTACTGAGCCATTATGGCTAACATAGATAATGATAATGGATTAATATAAGTTACAAGGACTAATAATAAGCCTGACCTATTGGGCCAATCAGTTTATAATCTTATGGAGTCTTGTGTGTGATTTTCTTTGGGGTTTGCCGGCTGTGGAGTACCGGGCGGGACAGATACCCCAACAAGCCGGCCCTCATGCTACATAGTGGGAGCTCATAGACTCTGGACTGGCAGCTAGAGAACCTGCATGGGACTGAATTAAACTTTCTGAATAGATCTAATTTTTAGAACATAAACTATAAAATTAGACAAACCAGGAAATAGTCAGTCAGAACTTCTAGCTCTATAAAGGAATACTTTTAACTTTTGTGTCTCCAGTTAAGCAAAATGGTGATAACAACCTCACTCATATAATTCCACTGAGGGATTTAAATGAGAGTATGTAATAGAAATGATCATATAGAACGAATGTGTATGTTCAAATATATATGACTTGGGGTGTTTGCTTGTTTGTTAGTTGGTTGGTTGATTGGTTTTTTAAAATAGGGTTTTTCTGTATAGCCTTGGTTGTTCTGGAACTCAATATGTAGACCAATGTAGACCAAGCTGGTTTTGAACTCACAGAGATCTGACTACCTCTGCCTTATGAGTTCTGGGATTAAAGGCATGTACCACCTCCATCCAATATCACTTACATATATAAATATATGCAAGTACATATGATATATATATGTGTGTATGTATATATATATATATATATATATGAAATGGTCATTTCTCTTTCTGCTGGAGTTGGAGGATCCTTCTTTTATCCTTGGACATCAGAACTCCATGTTCTTTGGATTTTAGATACTAATAAGGCCTTTGTTTGAGGACCCCTGTTTTTCTTTATTAACTCAATCTTCTTCCTGCACCATAATAATCATATAATGTTACAATAACTATACTTAATATCCTTTATCCACATTAAAATTACTCTTCTCAGTTTTAACCAGCGAGAGCTTCATAAGCTTTGCTTGCCCTTATTTCTGTCAGTGTCTCCATGGTGTCTTGTCAATCCTCACTATTGCATTTTCAATTCATACTCTTTGCTTTATCTCAAAGAACCCATATCTCTATACACTATTGAAAAAAGTATGCATTCTCTAAAACTACTCTTAGTATACAAAGTGTTCTTCCCCTACATTCCATTCCTTTTGTCCTTTTACTGTGTTACATGTTTAATTTCTCTAGTCACCCTGCCTTCAATGATGTTGCTCAGTGTTTCATATCACACTAAAACATCACAGAGAACCAAATGAAACAATAACAACAAATAAAGATCTCTAATTCTTTCCTTACCTCTCATTTCCTGGTGCAATATCGGCTCCAAGGTGTACCCAGGATTTCTTAGGATAAGCACTGTAAAGGGAAAGCTTCCCATAAACTCCTGAAAAATTGAATCAACAAATCACTAAGAAAATACTTCCATCTTAATTAAGGGCAGATAAGTAAAATATGGTTCAAAGGTTCATACACAAAAATATGTGACATATAATCCATATCTAACTATGTCCGTCCTATCTTTAAAATAGAATATTTCTATTCAAGTCAAATATAACCCAAAGTCCTATGGGGAAATCAAAGCTACAGAACATAATGAAAATCTAAAAGTAGAGAAACACCATCTAATGGTGAGCCAGTCCAATTTAAAGTGGTATGTCCTTTTGCTTTTAAGGTGACGTCAAAACTTTTTTGATCTGATAGAAGACAATCAGTTTTGGTATTTTATGATATACCTTAGACTGTGCAATAGGCAAGGTTCATTCTATTTCCTGAAGATGGGACCTCAATTTTGTTTTCAGTGTTCAAATTTAATAATTTGTCTCACTAGAGATGATCCATGGAGACATGAACAAACAGATATGCTGTTTTGTTTTGGGAGAGGGGAGAGGGGGAGGATTGGGGATGGCTTGGGGGAATGGGAGGGGGGAGGGAGGAAGGATGGTTGTGGGAGCAGGGAGGTTTATATCTCAGCTAAGGGAGCCATTTTAGGGTTTGCAAGAGACTTGATTCTGGAGGGGTTCCCAGTAAAAATTTATTTATTTATTTATTTATTTAATTAAAATAAAAATAATAATAAAAAAAGAAAAGAAAACGCTTTACTGAGTCAGGTAAGCCAGACCCAAAAAGAGGAATATGTTATGTATTCACTCATAAGTGTATTCTAGCCATAATTAAAGGTCTTTGAGCCTATTATTTGTGATCCTAGAGAAGCTGGATAGGAGGGTAGACCTGAAGAAAATTCAGGTAGTTTTCCTCTTGGAGATTGGAAATAGACAAGAGTCCCAGGTAACCTCAGGTGCATGGGGAGGTGGGAGGGTTGTTGGAAGGGGAGAGGATTAGAGAGAAGGAAACAGGGGAAGAATGGGGAAAGCTCGGGGGACTGGGAGAGGGGAGGGAGGAAGGATAGATATGAGATCAGGGAAGAATATATCTCAACTAAGGGAGTCAATTAGGGTTTACTAGAGACTTGATTATAAATGGGATCCCACGTACAAACAGTAGTCTTATCAGGGAGATTCAGCCTTCAGGTATTTGAGGATTTTCTCAAAAGTACTTCATAACAATTTCCAATCATATTAAGTATAATTTCTCATAGTCTTGTGTTCTAAAATATGTGAGCATGCATTCCAGTAGAAGAACAAAAAGTAATCATGTGTCAACATATGCATATTTATTTCACTTAGATAATAAATATGTTATTTATTATACGATATGCTATAAATGTTGTAAGTCTATATATGTTATATGTCTATAAATATGTGCACTTGACATAACGCTTTAATGTTTTCACCCTACACTCAAGTGGAGCGTGTGAATAACCTATACAAATGGAAACATTTTGTTGCAAGCAACTAATTTAACAACCTAAATATTCATAATATTTTGTAAAAAAAAAAGACATGAATGAAAAATGTAAACATCATTGCAATGTCAACAATGTGCATTGGATTTTTTTCCATTGTGGACCAAAACAATAAAATCATAATTACTGAGACCTTACTTAAGTGTTTGTGCCAATGTCTGTATTTCTTCTGTACTCTAATTCAGAAAGATATGTTAGAAGATAAAAAATATAACCATTAGTAGATGCAGAATGAATATTACTTTCAGAGCACATCCTAGAATCAATTCTTCATAATATAGTTTGATAATTTCATGTCACATAATATCAAACCATAAAACTAAAATCATCTCTTATGCATCATATGCTAAGTGCCTAGGTAGACAGAATTTTGGGGAGACTTAGAGAGATTTCCAACAACAATGTTTATTACAAAAAAAATCATATCTTTAAAATCTTTATCCTGAATATTCAATTAACCAGAAAAACAGATTTCTTGCTTATTTCTATCATCAAAGGTTAACTGTAAAATATCACTGTATCATTTGATAGTTGTTTCAAGAAGGTAATAAACTACTTAAAATGATTAAAACCTGCCTTTTGCTTATGATGCCAAAGAAGATAAGTATGCTGTGAGTTGTGTATCCTTTGTTTAAGCTGCTAGTAGAAAAGAAAATTGAAAGGCACTGCTTGAAGCACAGGGCTGGGGCCAGGGACAGCATGCTTATTTGTATGGACTCCAGTCTGAAGATTTCAACCAATGTGATATAGAACAAATGGATCAAATCAAATGCCCTTAGTATAGTCTCTCCTCTTGATCAACTGTAAAGTTAAAAATTCTTCTACTCATGCCATGAAAAGATAAAATAAACATAGGAAAAAAATTTGAAATTATAAAGCATTTCAACATATTATAAAACAATTGTTTGATGTTTTGGAAGTAAGTTAATAAATCTCACACTATCTGAATATTTATCCCAAAATGGTAAGAAATGTCATACATGTGCTATATTTGTGTGCATACGCGCACGCCCATGTGTGTGTGTGTGTGTGTGTGTGTGTGTGTGTGTGTGTGTGTATGTGTGTGTGTGACTTTGAAACATCCATCACAGCTGTTCATCTAAAGGAAATTCCAATGAAATCCCTACTCTGGCTACTCTAGCTCGTGACAGTAACACATACATCTAGGCTATATAGCAACACAATACTCAAAAACATAGTAAATGACCATGACCTGACTCATTTTAACTCTCCTCTTACAGAGAAGTGAAAAAAATAAGTTAAAGGGGATGTAGTTTTGAAATGAATGAATTTTCTTAAAGGAGGGGAAACAACTTCTAGTCAAGAGGTTTCCCTTTTACATAGTGAGTAATGTCTATACAGTGCCATTGGGAAACGCTCTTATCCTGTAATACCCACTGATTTGGAATCTTGTCAGTACAAGATGTCCCAATCTTTGAGTTCCCTGTCTTTGGTTTTGTAGACCAGTTTAGGATCTGATACTATAATACTATGGCAATGTCACTATCAACAGTGAAGGATCTTCTGGTCACTGCACATACATAGTTCATTACTGCTGAGTCATAGTTATGATATCTGTAAATGGACATTGGACATCTCAAAAGTCAAAAAGTAAATATAAACTTTCTAGAATTTAGCAGCTATCCAAGAAATGGAAGTCCTTTGCCTCTTTGTCTTTCTTTCTGTCTTGCGCTTTCTTTCTGTCTTCTCTCTTTTACAAACACATAGACACACATATTATATTATTAATATACATTATATTTAACTCTTACCAATTGTTCCTGGGTCAACACTTATTCCATTAAAATAGTCACAAAATATTTCTTCTGAGGCTCTGAGGATAATCAGAAGTCTTTGTTCTTTTTCTAAGGGATTTGTTAAAGTACCTGTTAAGAAAACAAAGTATATCATCTAAAATAATTTGAAATGCAAAGAAAGAATCCAGAGTAAATGTCTGCTATCGATTGTTTGGGGAAGCGGCAATGGTCACATCAATGAGATGACAGCAGAAATCATGAGTTCCTACAACCATCTCTGAAGAAGTCTGGGTTATCATTCATGAATCACCTGCTACCTCTCATCATAGACTCAGAGTACACTTTACTGGCTCCTATTACCCAGGCCGATTTTGTGACGTGTTCTAGTGGGCTAGTGATGTTTGGATGGAAAGTAGTAATTTTTTTGTTAGTTGGTAATGTAAATACTTGCCAAGTATTCTCCACATCTCTTCTCTATTATATAGTTCCTCATTTATAAAAACTTGGATTTTTAAATGAAGAGACATTCAGAAAAACCCTAAGGTTTTTGACTCCAGCAAGTAGGCTGGAGTCAGGTTCAACCTCGTCTAATATGAATACTCATTTTACAAACCACTGAGGTATAGGAGTGATGTACTAAAAACCATTATTATGGTGAATCCTGGCTAATACAGTGACCATGGTTGTGTGAATTAGTGTTTCCTTCACATGGTTTTAGCATTTAGTGTTCACTACAAATCTAAGAAGCATGATTCTTATTTTGATGTAAATATCCACATAGAAAAAGGCCTAAAGCTTTGGGTATGAATCTAAATCTATACAACTAGCAGTATGTAGCAGACTTCATACAATCATGGTTTATCAAACCAGTAATAAACTGCTTTTTATAAGTTCTCTTAGCATCATTGCAGCAAAGGAAACATAAGGCTATGACAGACAGATGGGAATTGCTTTCAAGAGTCTCTTGAGGAAGCAGTCATGTTCTTTACAGTTAGATGAATGTTCAGAGACTTGCTAACAAGATATTAATGAATACAGACCTAGGAAAGCTATGCTATTCCTACAGAAGCCATTGTTGAAGAAATAACCAGTATAAACATCCTCCTCAAACTATATATTCTATGGAAGCAGGCTCACTAAAATCATCCGCCATCAAATGAGTCTTTCTGCTTTACCAGTTTCTTGTGAACAAAAGAAATGTGACTGTCAAATATGGTACGAAATAATTGATAAATTTATCTACTTGTCATTTTGGTTATTCTTCTCTCAGGCAGCAAAAATCCACTCCACATTCCTGTTAGGACTTCCTATGCACTTGTTGTAAGTTTGGGGATTGTTTGGTGTATGTGTATCTCCTCAAATCATCCTTGTGAGCCATTACTGTTAGAAGTGTTGACAGCAAGATTCAGAGAGACAAATCAATCTTTACTGTAGTAAGGAGGCCAGTTTTTGGTTCCTGGCAACATAGCCCCAAAATAATCACACAGAAACTGTATTATTTAAATCACTGTTTGATCTATTAGCTCTAGCTTCTTATTAGCTAACTCTTAATTTAACCCATCTTCATTAATCTGTGCATCACCATGAGGTCGTGGCCTACCAGCAAAGTCTCAGCACATCTGTCTCCATGACTTCTCTTCGACTCTGTCCTTCTTTGTCCCAGCATTCAATTTAGTTTTCCACACCTAGCTAAGTTCTGCCCTGCTATAGATCCAAAGCTGTTTCTTCATTCATTAATGGTAATCACAGCATACAGAGGGAAATCCCACATCACTGGACAGCACATGAGTCAAGGGCAAGCATGGCTTAGGTGTTCATGCTACAACACTGTTTTTGAATATTTTTTAAAATGTGTTATATTTGTTTATGCGGTGGCACTTTTATTTTAATGATGCAAAGATGTGTGTTGCATTCCTTTATGTTGCATTTGTTTAATTCTGTGAAGTTGGGTTACTTTGCCCATCTAAAACACTTGATTGGTCTAATAAAAAGTTGAAAAGCCAATAGTCAAGCAGAAGAAAGGATAGGCAGGGTGAGCAGGCAGAGAGAATAATTAGGAGGAGAAATCTAGGAAGAAGGATCAAGGAGCAAGAAAAAGGAGGAGGAGAGGAGGACATCGAGGGGCAGCCACCCAGCTATATAACTAGCAACAGAGTAAGAAAGAAAAAAAAGTATATAGAAATAAAGAAAGATAAAAGCCCAGAGGCAAAAGGTAGATGGGACTATTTAAACTAAAAAAGCTAGCAAGAAAACAAGACAAACTAAGGCCAGGCATTCATAAGTCTCCTGTTGTATTTATTTGAGAGCTGGGTGGTGGGCCCCAAAGAACAAAAGAGTAAAAACAACCAACTATACAACACTAAAGAAAGGTCTGGTTCTATATAGATGCCACAGTGTCTTAACTGGGATATGAAGGTATCCTCTGAGCCCAAAGATATGGAGAGCAAGAAGGGAGGAAGCAAAGACTGGGGACTGTTCAGCAAATGTGCCTGATGTGACTCTATCTTGCTGCCAGAAGTCTGTCCAGTAAGCTGTTTTCCAACTGCGATTTCATTTATTTCATGGAGGGTAACGTCTTACAGGGGGGAAAAATGGCCTAGCACTAAACAGATACCAGAGAGGAAAAGTAGGACACTTTTTGCCCTAGAGAAATGTATGCAGAGTCCCACAAAAAGAGTTGCACGTTTCTCTAAAATCAGAGATTAAATCAATTATGCAACTCAAAACTGCAGCACATGTGGGGCCTTCACAGAAAATCTGGGCAAAATTAGTCAGCCTGCCGTGATCTTTCAGAATCTGAAGCGACCAGAATTTGGAGTCTTTTTTATTAACATGGGAGAGGGAAAGATGGAGGCTGGAACTACTCAGCAACCAGGCAGGGGCAAGAGAAAGAAAGGTGTGATATTCTACATTAAAATACTGTGCTTCCCAGATTTTAAAAGCAGGTGAAAGGGAAGCTTTCTGAGCTGCTGTCCTCCTTGTCTTCTCAACCTCACAGAGATAGATGCTCTTTTCAATATAGACTTTACCAATAAATAAGAGCAGCTAGCTCTGAGATGATGCAGCGGGGTCTTGGTTTGCCTTTGTAAATCTGTTGTAGTTTATATGATGGGAGAAAATCGTCATGTGTTGTGAAGACATTACTGGTGTTTTGCATACATTACATTCTCACAGGTCTTCCGTGAAGACTCTAGAGATTCCCATGAGGAAATTGAGGCAAGAAGAGCTTACACCACTAGTCAGAAACTACATAGCTATTATTAAGTGGCATTAGGCTTAGATTTAATAAATACCATCCTAAGACACATGGAGGATGAAGGAGAAGTAAAGCAAAGTTGTTATTACTTAGCATGATGGTTGGCAATGGAGGGGGAAAAGAATTGATTCCAGATGTTAAAATCACCTGGGGAGATGGAAGAAAATAAGTTCTGGTATACCAAAGATAACCATTATTGATTTGGCGGATATGGTACAAATGGATTCCATGAATTTCAAAACATAAGAAAAAGGGAAATGAGCCTTTATTACTTTATTAACTAAATCTCTATGATAGAATCAGGTATGAGCCTAGTTTGCGCTTAAGCCTACTCTATCAACCTGAATCCCAACACCTTGTAGTCAACAGACACAGTCAGGATAATTGTCTAATCTTTCAGATCTTTCTGTTCACAGTTTTTGTTTCTCCCCGTCCTTAAATTTCCAACCATACCTGGCTCCACTCTAATTGATTCCTAAGAATGTACTGTGTTCTTGAATTGGAGTATATAAGAATGGCCATGCCTCTTGTTATATGTTAAAAAGTTTGAACTAAACATTCAGCACTCAATATGGATAAAGATGAACAAATCCTCAAAGTTCTTCAGCATGGTATTTACAAAAAAAAATGGCAAATATTTTTAAAGGCTTTGAAACAGCAAAAGAGGAGAAGTAGTTCTTATATTTCATGCTCAACCCCCTTCCTTTCCCTTTTCTAATGAGCTCCATAGCTGAGACACAGGAAGTCCCTCAACAAATTCTTCCTCTCTTTACCTGAGATGCCATGCCAGCTAACTCTGAGAGTCCATCTTTATTCATATCTTTCTTTGTCAAGTAAGTCAGGGTTAAGCGACCCCCCTCAGCTATAACAACAGGCCACAAAACATTTAAAACTGGAACATGAGTTCCTTGGGCCTGTTTTCTGTTCTTTGTGAGCTAAGAAACAGTGTGTCGCCAGAATTAACTTTAAAATGTTTCATAGAATGATGAACTAGTTCATTGAGACCAACTTACTTGCAGCAAACTACAGTAAAGAGAAACAACTGAGAGTAATAAAAATGTGAATCAGTTATAATGATCCTAAATATATATGTGCCTAACGGTATATTCAATCAAAATGTTTATTTCTTCATTAAAGGTTTATCCCAGCATGGTGACACACATCTGGAACACCAGCACTTGGGAAGTAGATGCGAGAAGACCCATTATGAGGCAGCCTTGATTTTATGGGAAATCTTAAGCCAGGAACTGTATTGAAGCCCCCTCTTATCTTTTCTAAAGATAACTATGTAACTATATTAAAATATAATAGGACATAAGGTTTGGACATAAAGGGGATAAGTAAGAGGGAATCACTAGGAACAGGGGAGAAATGAGTGCAAATTTGATTAAAATGAAGTATATTCATTTATGAAGAAAAAGTTACTCTTCACAGAAATTAATTAGTAGGTTACTATTTAAATGTGAATTTATTTATTTAATATGTAATTTACCTTGTACAAAATAAAGTTACTAAATAAAGGACAATTAATTACTCATGGTAATTATTAAGCAAAAGTTATATATTTTTTAAATTTATTTTAAAGACATTGATGAATTAAAAGTATAAATTAGAAAAATACTGATTTTGAAGTAGTTCAGTATTAAAGATATTTACTTAGAAGAATTTTCAGGTTTATTAGAGTTTTGGTTAACAATGCTTAAGTAAAACTGAAAGATAATATGGTGTTTGTGAAAAAGTATATTCATCCAGAAATAATATCGTTCTATGGCAAATCTCATCTTGAAACACTTATTACTTACTGTCCATCTTTTGGGATTATCAGACCTCTTCAAGTACAGAACTGGAATTCTGTGCTTACTACAGTTATACA